GGCAGTAATGCAGGGCAGTGCCTGTGCCCAAAGCCTGCTTGGGAAAGACTGTACTTCTGCAGGCCGCTCGGCCTCTGCACCGTGCTCTCCCGGCCTTGTGCCTGGTGGCCACTGTGGTGACACAGTGGTCACAGAGCTCTGCCGCGCTGAGGCCACAGGAGGGCCCAGGGTCACGTCTCAGGGCCTTCCCATGCCCCGGGGGGTGCACATAGGCCTGTGCAGCAGAGGCCGAGGTGCACGTGGGGTCGTGGCAGAAAGACCTCTAGAGGCGCTGGCCCTGATCACCTCCCCGCCTCCCTCTCTCATGGAAGTGAGCTGAAAAGAAATCCCATTGAAGACTCGCCCTGTCCTTAAGGCCTCTCTGACCGTCCCCTCACGGCGTGCCCTCGTGTGTCTGTGTGCACATGTGTGTGCACGTGTGTGCATGCGCCCATCCGTGTGTCCTCTCTCCCCGTAAGGAGCTTCCCAAGCTCAGCTCACATCCAGTCCCTGCCGAGCCTCCTAGTCCAAACTTCTCGCTGTGTGTTCCCGAGGTGTCCGACCATGCAGGCGGGAGGGGTGGGTGAGCGTGTTACACACGGCTTCCCTGCACCTCCACATCAACCTAACCTGACTCTGGGTGCCGGAGACAGGAAGGCGAGGGCTGATCCCGGAACCGGCCCTTACCAAGCACCGGACACTTCTGGGAAACACCCCCAAGGAAGGGCCTTGGTGGAGGCTGGGCCTGGGGACCAGGGTCTCACCTCCTGATCTCCAGGGTCAGCAGCCCGTAGTTGTTGGTGACTCGGTACTTTCCGGCAGGACAGAGGTGGGGCTGGAGTCGGATGTCGTTTTTGTACCTGTGGAGACAGAGGTGGCTGCTGGGCAGTGTGGGAGGGCCAGGGAGGACCGGAGCCCTCCAGCTTTGTGGTCGCTGGCTGTGTGGCCAGGGCGGCACTTCTCTGCCCTGAACCTCAGTTACCCCCACCTGTGGAATGGGACCACAGGAAGGCCTGTCTCCGAGGGCTGCTGTGGGACCACGTGGGCAGGCATGCAAAGCCTCCCTGATGCCCTGCACTGCGGACGCCCATGTTCATTCTCCTTTGGGGGCAGAGAAGAGGGAGTCTGTCATCAGGGGTACCTCCTCTTCCCCTATCAGGGGTACCCCAAAAAACTGGACCGGGCCCAGCTTTTCCCTCTCTAAGGGAACTTGCCAAGGAAAGGACCCCCAGTCCCTGTCTCCCTTGCCAGCCCTTCAGTCAGCTGTTCTTTAGTTTGGTTCTAGCTAGAAGCCCCAGAAAGTCTCCATGCCCAGGTATGGCCCTGTAGCTGTGATTAGGTGAATTGAATCCCACATGGCTGACTGTGGTTTGAATCTTGGCCCTGGCAGTTTCAAAAACCCTCAGGGTGTATGGATATGTGTGCCCCAGATCCCAGATCCCGACAGGAAGGAGAAATGGAGGGGGGGCCGGGGCATGCCACATCCCATTGGAGGTGATGCCTCACTCCCTCTGGCAGTGCACGTGGCCTCTGGCACTAAGAAAAAATGAAAACAAATAAATCTCCAGGCCCAGTTTGGAACATGAGCCTCTGAGAATTTGCACCAGAAGCTGCTGATTGTTTGGAGCGGTGGATAGCATAATGGTTACAATGCTGGACTCCCACGTAGGCGACCATGATTCGAGTCCCAGACCTGGTGGCTTAAAACTTGCACCAGGTGCGTGTGCGTCCAAAATCCTGAGAGGAGGATGGAGGAGAAGGGGTTGCAGAGTGGCCATCCCCCTGGGGGGGTGGGTTCTCGTTTTCAGTCTGTCTGTCTGTCTAGTGAATGCATGAATGCACACGCCCTATAGCAAAATCTATAAACAAACAAACAAACAAACAAACCAAAAAACTGATCATTGTTTTCCAAGACCAGGCTCTCCTGTATTCTAAAGAAACAGACCTCCCTGGGGGCCACCCAACCCATGCCAAGCCTCCTTGCCTCTTTTTCTGCTGGGTGTGGCATTATGACTCAGCGCTGTGAACAGAGAGTGAGGAACGGGGTCGGGGGCTTCTTCTGATGATGCCCTGGCCCCCTTTGTGTCACCTTCCCCTCTGTCCTGCAGCAGGGACAAGGCCATGACAGTGCTACCTCATGCCACCAAAGCCAGCAGCAGAGCCCCCAGCAGTGACCTGGAGGACGCCCCGCCTGCGGGATCCGAGGGGCAGTGGCCACAGCAGCCTGTGCCGTGGGCACCCAGACAGGTGGGGGGAAGGAAAATGGCCCGCCTTGGCTAAGCCATTAACATGAACAAGCAAAACCCCAGACCCAACAACTCCGCACCCAGGCTGCGGCCCACATGGAAGGTGCCGGAACCTCAGGGGTGAGCCCGGGCGTCAGCGTGTCTAAACTCCCGGGTGACTCCCAGGTGACCGAGTAGACCTCGTGCCTTTGTTTCTGGGCCTGTCCTCCCTGCTGGGTGGCCTGGAGGCCTGCAGGCCCAAGGCGTCAGGGCTGGGGGTGTCAGCGTGCCAGGAGGCCTGGGTTCTTAACTGTTCCTATGGTTACGTTCATCGCCAGAGAGCGTGTGTGCTCACCAGGGACAGAGAGAGAGAGAGTACGCCCCCTCCACCTTGGTCACAGTCACAGCATGCTGCAGCCGCTCCCCCTCCAGGTCCCCGTGTGTCGGTGCTCTGGGTGCACACGACGTGTCTCGTGTGTGTTTCAAGCTGTCGGAGGTGGGACTGGATCGTGTCGTTAGCCATCGGTGTGGTGCCTTAACCACTAGGCCACAAGGCCAGCCTGAGGCCTGGGTTCTTGACAGTTATGTGACCTTAGGCAAGTCAGTGTCACTCTCTGGGTCTCTGTCCCTGAGGCCGTAGCACAGATATTCCCATGGGGTGATGGCATCCTTCCGTGCACCAGGGGTGGTGGGTGAGGTTGAGGAGGAGGCCCGGCCGAGGGCGGGCGCCCAGGCCTCAGTGGGCTGCCCTCCTTCGACAGGCCTTCCCACAGCCTGTTTGTCTCCGTGGCAACCAAACAGGGCCACACCATGCCCACCACACGGCCCCCCAGGGTGCGCCCTCTTTGGAAAGGAGCCCAACGGAGTTTCCCTGTGGGAGGGCAATGGCTAATCTGGGCCTGGAGACCAGGGCTAGGCCCCCACCTGTCAGGAACATTCCAGAAGCCTCTGCCTTTCCTGGAAGTAGGAAGCAGCAGCAGCTGCAGCTCTGGGCATGGTCAGGGCCTCAGTCCCCAGTCTCTGCCTCTTGGTCAGGCCTCGAAGGCACGACTGCATGGATGGCCCTGGGTGGCAGCCAGTCACAGGAACATTAAATGGGTCACCTGAGCCCAGCCCGAGCCTGGCTCAGCGAGGCCCTAGGAAAGACTGAGTTTCATGCTGGGGCCAGCAGGTGGCGTGGTGGTTAAGGACCGGATCCCACATGGTTGACTTTACAGTTTGAGTCCTAGACCTGGTGTCATGAAAATCATGCCGGGTTACATGTGTGCGCCTGCTCAAAAGCCCCAGAGAAAAAGGAGGAGAAGGGATTGCGGTGTGGCCTTCCCTCCTAGGGGATGATTTATCACTTTCCTTCTCTCTGTCTCTCTGGCAAGTGCACATGCCCTGCGGCAAAAATCTGAAAAAAATTTTTTTAAAAATTAAAAAATCTGAAAAAAATGAAGAACTAAGGTTTGGGGGACCAAATGTTTTGGTGGCGTGGATGTGGCCAGTCCGGCCCTCATTTAAACCCGCCCTGTTGTTGGCCAGAGACCTGGAGCCTCGGGCACTGGGTTTCAAGACAAGCGGTCCCTCTGCAGTTCTCCCAGAGTCCTCCAGGAGTGCTGTGGCAGTGTCTCCCGGCCTGACCCTGGGAGGAGGTCTGCAGGGCTGGTGTCCCCCAGCTCCCCACTGCGTCCAGGAGCCCCCACCATGACAAGGTATGTCCTTCTCTAGGGACACTGATTCAAGCTGGGTCAGTGTCACAACCCTCCTGGTGCCCGCTGGGGGCTGTGCGTCTGTGTGTCGGGCCTCTGTGGTCAGGAGGTGCTCACCAAGCGCTGGGTAGGCGGACTGTCCTGACGAGCCAGGCGGGCCAGGACCTTCCTGCTTACCCGAGCTGGGTGGCGCCCTCTGACCCGAGCTGGGTGTCTCCCTGGGCCTGGACCGAACCTCTGGAGGCCATGCCGGGAGACGAGGTGTGGCTCAGCCCGAGGAGACGATGAAAACCCAGGGCCATCTGGCTGCTGGGGCTGGGGTGGCAGATCGGGGCTCCTGCCATTTTCAGGAATGCTCAGCTCCCAGTCGGGGCGACCTTGTTGGCAGGGATGGGAACAAGTCCCCTTGGGAGAGGCTTCCTGGAACGCCTGAGACGTGGGCCTCGGCGCCAGGGAGGGCAGGGCGCGGCCGCGAAGCTGGACAGCTGAGGTGCTGACCCAGCTTCACCCAGGCCAGGAGAGGGGACTGTGGTCCTCTGGGAGCAGCAACCTGCATGTGGGGACAACTGCAGGACCCAGGTCCCTGTAGACAGCACTCAGTGGCAGCGAGGTGCCTCGCAGGGTGTTTAGAATGAGTGCCAGCCCTGGGCGACTCCCTCAGGAAGGCTCTCTTGATTGCTCCTGGCTTAAATACTTTCTTTTTGCCACAGGGCATGTGCGTTTGCTAGTTGGAGACAGAGAGAGGGGGAGAGTGAGAAAGCACCCCCGGGGGTGACCGCACTGCAAGCCTTTCCCTCCATATTCCTCTCTGGACTGGGGGCCCCGCGTGCACACATGCCCAGGGTTTTTATGAGCTGCTGGGTCTAGGACTCAAACCAGAGGTGGCCATGTGGGATCCAGAGCTGTGACCTCCATGCCACCTGCTGGCCTGTGCTTAGGGAAAATGGTAACGGTCACTTTCCTATGTGTGGGCCGGCAGGAAGGGCCGAGGGATTGGAGGCAGGAGACCTGAGTTTGAATCCTGCTCACGCTGGCTGTGTGGTCTTAGACAAATCCCACTGCTTCTGAGCCTTGAGGTCCTCACCCATGAAATGGGAAATAGTTCCTGCCTCGTGAGTACCCCTGACGCTCGAGGGGGAGACAGTGCTGAGTCAGGGCAAAACGGGATGAGCTGCAGGCTGCTGCGTCTTCCTGTCCGTGGGTACTGGTGTGCTAGTCTTCTTGTCTGTTCGACTGTGCTCACTTTGCCCTCAAGATCCAGCTTGTGCTACCTCCTCCAAGAAGCCTTCCTGGACCTCCAGGCTAAGCCAGCCGCTTCCCCCTCTCTGCCCCACAGATGCACTTCTCTGTGTGTTGCTGTTTCTCTTGGGCTGAGTCCCCAGGGGAGATCTGCCATTTCTGTGCCCAGGGCCATGTTAGGGCCTGACACAAAGGACACTCTTAGAATTTATTGTTGAAATCCCTCCCTCCTCTCCCAAGGAGCCATGCCCAGCCCTGTCTCTACCATGCCTGCCTGGAGACCCCTGCCCCTCTCCCCACACCCCACCAAGACCTGGCCTCCCGGATTGTGCACAGTAACCCTCCCAGGAGTGCTGTCTCCCAACTCCCTCCCCGTTCAAATTCTGAGGGCTTCCATGTAGCTGCGGCATTAAATTCTCCCTAGACGCAAAGTGGGCAGGTGGTCTTTGACCCGTTCTGCACAGTGAGAAACTGAGGCAGGATAAGCGAGATTAAGCGACATAGCTGGAACCACACACTGAGTTAGCAGAGAATGAAAGCCAGGCCTGGGACCCCAGGTTTCCACCCCAGGCTCGCCCTCCTTCTCCCTGCAGGGTCCCCGCCCGCCTGCCTCCTCCTGCGGCTTGGCCCCTGTCCTGCCTCCCACCGTGTCCTGTGACCCTGAGATGCCCAGCGTGGAGCAGCTGCCTTCTGCCTCCAGAATCATATTTTTACAAGGGCTGCCTCCCCGGGGGGCCAGTCTTCCAGCCCCAGGCTGACTGGGAGGCAGCTAAGAATAACCCGGCCCGAATCTGGCAGCAGCTGCTGTTTGGGGGGGTGGGCAGAGCCCTGGGTCTGTGGATAAGGCGTCAGGAACTCCTGGGGAGGTGGCTGCAAGGAACTCAAGCTCTGGCCCCCCTCCCACCAACCCAGCAGCTTACCAGGTGACCTGGGGAGGAGGCCGGGCCTGGACGGTGCAGGTCAGCAGGACTGTGGTATGCTCCCAGACGGCGTGGGAGCGGAGCGGGATCCAGAACCAGGGCCCCCGGCCGGAACACAATTCCTTCAGCTCCTTGGCCTCCCGCACCTTCTCCTCCGTCTGGAGGCAGGAGGGTGTGTGACCCCTGGGAGCCAGGGACCACCTCTCCTCTGTCTTTGTCCTTACGGCCCCCGCCCTCAATGCCCAGGCTCGAGTCAGACCGCGTGGCTGGAGTCCCCGCACCACCTGAAGGCAGTGTGGTAGAGTGGGCAGGACGTGAGCTTGGGAACCAGCAGCCTGGGGTCCAGGTCTGACCGCCACTGGCTACACG